CGAATTTCGATCTATAGAACTAAAAATGGACCTTTAGGCCATTACATGCTTATGCTGAAAACATCAAACTCTTCCCCGACAGCCTGTAGTATATCAACCATAACTTCTTGTACTCAACTCCAACTGCCAAATGGTTTATATTTATGCAAATTAGATACAAAGGGCTACAACTTTCATGTTTTGCTCATTGCACAACTCGTTATAGATTGCAAGATATAAGCTCCCAAAGTGAGCCTTGTGCAGCAAAATTTCTTGCGATGCACACTGCTGTAGCCAAAATCTGCAATACCAGCTTCAGTCAATCGAATATAACTTTCTGTACAAATGTCCAGATGATAAATGGTTTAACATTCTAGAATATATAATCAAAGAGCTACAAATTTCATATTTTGATAATTTCCAGATTCCTTATAGATTTCGAGATATAAGCTTCCAAAGTTAGCTCTACGCATCAGAAATTCCGCACATTGCTGTCAAAAACACCAGCAGTTAAAAATGATTTGAAACTCACCTGAGGCCCTCGGGACCTCAACCCAATACACCAACAAGTTCTAAAACATCATACGAACTTATTTGAAACTTCAAATCACATAAAACAATGCTAAAACCACGAATCATACCCCAATTCAAGCTTAAGGAACTTAAGAATTTTCAACTTCTACATTTGATGACGAAACCTATCAAATCAATTCTGATTGGCCTCAAATTTTGCACTCAAGTCATAAATGACATAACTGATCTATTAAAACTTTTAGAACTGGATTCTGGCTCCGATATCAAAAAGTCAACTCCCCGATCAAACTTCTAAAAAATTCAACTTTCGCCATTTCAAGCAAAATTTCACTACGGACTTTCAAAATATTTTTCGGACACGTTCCTAAGTCCAAAATCATAATACGGAACTATTGGAATTATCAAAACTCTATTTCGGGGTCATTTAGACATAAATCACCATCCGGTCAATTATTTCAACTTAAGCTTCCAAAACAAGAATTATTCTTTTAATTAAATCCTGAATCATCCGAAAATCAAACTTGACCACCCTCGTAAGTCATAATACACATTTCAAAGTTGCTCGAGACCTTAAGCCACCGAACGGAACGTAAATTCTTAAAATGATAAGTCGGGTCTTTACATCCAACTATAGATTGCATATAGAATTGAACAGCGTAAGTTCTTGCATCTGAGCATCGAAAAATAGATTCGCGATTAGGATAGAGATATTCTAGTTGCCTTACTTAGTTATTATTGCAAGAAATATTATGCATTTATTTAACTCTGATTCTATGATATAGAGTATTAGGTTGGCTTGAATAGGCGAGCAAAGCGTCGAAAGAATTTCGCGAGCATAATAAACCCTGTTAATCAACAAATTAAATAGATCAAGTAGTTGATTCAACTGGAAAACTCAATAGAAGAGACGTTAATCATATAACCTGGAAATATTCTCATCTTATTAAATTTGCAACTAACACTACTAGAAAAATGCCAAATTTTATTCGCCAATACCGACCGATATCGGTCATAATTAAAGAAAAAGCGACCGATTTTCGACCGCTTATAATTCGTCAGAAGAATAATGGTTGCTAAGGCGTTGCGACCAAAGGCGGTCGAAATTTTCTGACCGCAGTTGGTTGGTTAATTCAACCGTTGGTTGACCGCTTTGACTAACAAAAATAAATAAACCGACCGACGTCGATCGGTATTATTTAAATTATTATTTATTTATTTTTCATAATATCGATCGACTTCGGTCGAAATCATAAATATGTAATAATTTTATATTTCTTTCTAAATTTTAATATATCGATCAAATTCGGTCGGAAAAGTAAAATAATAAATAAATAAAAATAATAAATTTTCGACTGACATCGGTCGGAAATTTTAAAATTCTGCAGATTTTAAATTGAAATTTTCGACCGACGTTGGTCGGTAAATATGAATTTCTGGGTTTTTTGTATGAGAATTTCGACCGAAATCGGTCGATTTTCTAAGTTAAAACCTGACAGAATATGCCTGCTTTTAAGCTACACCACCTGCCAATTACAACCAATAACCATCTTATAATGGCAGCATTACATTGCTGCCATTCAACCATAATTAAGCAACACCAACAACAATTAACCAACAACAACCACAACAACAACAACAACAATGCCAACCACAATAATAACTATACAAATGTTCAATAACAAAATAATATCAATAATACAATCAATATTCAAAACTATTCCCAACTAAATATTCACAAGTTCAAAACTGTGTTTAGCAATACACACCATTCAATGAGTGTTTTGTATTGTATCACCTCCATCTTTACTACTAGAAATGGTTCGAAGGATCACGACGAGAAGGACTAGTATCTGGGGAAGGCTCACGAGACCGTAAAATGGGGAAAGCACCACTAGCAAGAAGATTGGCCAGTTGACCTTAAAGGAGATTAAATTGTTGGTCCCTCTTTTCTAGATGAACTTGAAGGGTATCAAATTGTCTATCTCTCTTTTGTTCTCTAGCCTTTGTCTCTTCAAGCTCTGCTGTCAGCTTTACGATCTTCTTCTCCATAGATGAGATAGTCGATCTATCAATTGCCTCGCCTTGGGCGGAAGTCCCTATACCTTGCAATCATGACCTGTAGCACCAAAATGATCTCTCTGGAAGGCCGTATGCTATCCCTTTTTAGGATCAACAACAACATCCAACCATATGTTCTGCGCTTCTTCGTCTGAAACGGGTGGTCGCTCGCCTTGCTCATTCGGTGGCAAGCTCTGAGTGTACTCCTCCACATTAATCGTGTAGAGACACTTTATTTAGAAGATAGAAAATTATTAACTATATAATATTATAAACATTAATTTCAAGTTATAGTAGTTATGAAACTTACATATGTAGTCTCCTCCCGGTCCTCGACTCATCGAGTTGGATCTGTCGGTGCCTTCCTCTTCCGGATATGAGTCTCCATGAAGAACTCATCATGAGTCATATTCCTCCCATGTTTTTTTTCCTACAAATATAATAAAATGTGCTAACTAAATTAAAAAAATATAAATATAGTTTGATATATATAGAATTAAATATTTTAAGGAATTACCAGTAGTCTCCTCGCAGTCCCCATGCTCCTTGCACCCAACCAACATTCCATATGCAGGAAAATCATTAATGGTCCATATTAAGTTAGCATGCAAGTTCATATGTCCACATCTGAAGGATGACACATAACATCAGGCGGCCTTCTATTTTCATAGTGCCATCTCATATGAGGAGCGGAACTCATCGATGCGTACAATCTCTTTAATCTACGAATAAGAGGTAAGTAATGCATCGACTTCACAACAACCTTCTTCCCACTGGAAATGCGCTTAAAATGAGGTTTTTCACAAAATTTATAACTTTCTAAATCTGCATCACCCTTATAATACAACATGCAACCTTATTCACAACAAACAATTCTCATAGACAAGAGTCCTAACTTAGAAACCAATCTTTTAGCCTTATAGAAATCTTCAGAAATGTTGAAAGTTGGGTCAACTAGTTCACTCATAAGGCCAATGAAAGAATCCATTCCTGCTTGAGAAATATTGGTATCTGATTTGATACTTAATAATCTAACTGCAACAGACAACTGAGAGTGCATACTCCCTTCACTTAGTGGACGACTAGCGGCCTCTAACTGTTCATAAAAATATTTTGCCACTTCGTTAGGAGCTTGTTCAACACTTTCATGGGGTTCAAACTCGAAGTACATCACAAAAGTATCCGCAACCATTTTATGGTATCTAGGATGTTGAACGTTATTCCCCACCGACCTACTACTTTCACCAACAACTATGTTATGAAATACACCATCACTACCATCAACCTCTCCATGACTAGTCAACACAAAATAATTATCCATAAACCCTTTTTTTATAAAGATGAGTCTTAACATCCTCCGATCCAAAATAATGCAAACACTTGCACTTCACACAGGGACACCTAATCATCCCTCCGATTTGAAATGGTTCAAGTGACATTGCATGCCTAATAAATTCATCAACCCCTTCTATAAATTCCTCCCTCAAAAACCGACGATTAGGATAATTCCTATTATACATCCAACTACGATATTCCATCTACATAAAGAGCAAATAAATTACATGTTATATTAATTTAAAAGTTCACATATATCCCTAAATAAGTTCTTTTAAAATTCAATTATAAGAAGTAATTTGAAAGTTCCCATATATCCCTATAAAAGTTCTTTTACAATTCAATTATAATAAGTAATTTAAAAGTTCATATATATCTACAAATGAATTCAATATGCTTAGATTATATCGTTACACTTAGTATTAGATTGAGAATTAGTTTAATATATCCTTGTAATTTATTTTAAGTTTGATATAATTTATTTAAAAGTCCATATAATAAGATTGATTTATCCTTTCAATTTATTGTTCTAACCCTATCATTAATCATATAACTAGACTCGATAGACAATGAATTAGTTAAGCCATTCAATTGGACTAATTCAATTAGACTAACTCAATTAAATTAATTGATATTGTAGTTCATAATTTATACCTTAAATTAATTTATATATTAAATAATTTAAATGCATTAATTTGAGTTCTATTAAGAACCATAAGTTCATAATTTAAGGTATTTCATTATTTATACCTTGAGTTCATAATTTATAACTTAAATTAATTTATACATTAAATAATTTAAATGCATTAATTTGAGTTCTATTAAGAACCATAAGTTCATAATTTAAAGTAGTTCATAATTTATACCTTATGTTCATAATTTATACCTTAATTCTAAATCTAATGTAGTTCAGACCCCTAAAAAATTATAATTTTAGGTAGTTCAATTCTAAATCTAAATCTAATGTAGTTCTAAAACCCTATTTAGTCATAGAAATCCTAAATAGAAAAAAGCCCTAAAATATTGCATAAAATTATATTCTGAAAATTAAAAATTAAAAAACTAATAAGGTACATTACTAAGCTTGAACAACAATGGAAGTGGTGGTGCCACCGAGGAGGCAAAATGGCATTGGTGGTGGTGGTGGCGCAACAGTGGTGGTGGAGGAGACGCAGAATAGTGGTGGTGGCGGCTGGGGGTGCAGGCATGAGAGAAAAGAGGTGGGGCTTCGATTTTGGAGGGTGGGGTGACTTGATTTTGGGTGGGATTAGGCCAAAAATCCGCGGGGAAGGGAGATGGAGGAGAGATAGAAGAGAGAGAGAGAGTGAAAAGATGAAAATGGGGAAGAAACCCGCCTAGTCTAGTATAATTAACATATTTCCGACCGATTTCGATCGGTATTGTTAAAAAAATATTTGACCGTTTGACCTTACAAATAACGACTGAGATCGGTCGGAAATTAAATTATAAAAAGTTAAATAATATTCTTTTATTAATTATTTATCAAAATTTTTTGTTCTTAGCATTTTGCACACTTAATATGTGCTTTCTTTCTTAATTTGTACCTTAATCAAAAACTTTTAATTAACTTGCACCACATACCGATCGATTTTGTGTTTAAAGATTGTAATAAAATAATATATAATTTGATTTATATATAGCACTACATCTGATTTATAAAAATTTTAATAATATTCTTTTATTAATTACTTATAAAAAAAATGTGTTCTTAGCATTTTACACACTTAATATATGCTTTCTTTCTTAATTAGTACCTTAATCAAAAAAAATTATTTAACTTGCACCACATACCGGTCGATTTTGTGTTTAAAGATTGTAATAAAATAAAACATAATTAGATTTATATACAACACTACATCTTAAGTTTTACATGTAATGATCCAGTCGGTCGTTTCGAGAGTTATAGCCCCGTTTTTTCCATTTCGGCTTCCTTTTGTGCTTTTCAGCTATATTATGATATATCGGGTTAGTTGGTTAGGGTCCAGAGCAGTTTCGGAGTGAATTGAGACACTTAGTCTCTAAAGTAGAAGCTTAAGTTGGAAAAGTCAACCGAACATTGACTTATGTGTAAAGCTCCGTTAGATGATTTTGGACTTGGGAGCGTGTTCAGATTGTGATTTGGAGGCCCGTGGTAGAATTAGACTTGAATTGGCGAAAGTTAGAATTTTGGCGATTTTGGCCGGCAGTGGAAATTTTAATATCGGGGTCGAATTAGATTTCTGGAAGTTGGAGTAGGTTTGTGGTATCATTTCTGACATGTGTGCAAAATATGAGGTCATTCGGACTTGGTTTGGTAGGTTTTGGCATCGTTGGTGGAATTTGGAAGTTTAGAAGTTCTTAGGCTTGAATCCGGGGGTAATTTGGTGTTTTGATGTTATTTTGAGTGATTTGAAGGTTCGACTAAGTTCGTATGATGTTATGGGATGTGTTGGTATGTTTGGTTGAGGTCTGGAGGGTCTCAGGTGAGTTTCGGGTGGTTAATGGACGAATTATGGACTTTGAGAGATAACTGATCTGCTAGTTTTTGCTGTTGCTGGTTTTCTCTTACGCGTTCGCTAGGTAGGTCTCGCATTCGCGAAGAGTATCTGGAGATTGAGGAAGAATTGTTCTTCGCGTTCGCGAAGTAAGGGACGCGTTCGCGAAGGTTTAGGAGTAGAGTGCATCGCGGACGCGAGATGAGTAATGCGTTCGCGAAGAAGAGAAGAGGCAGCTGGGGACCCCATTGATTTGGTCTACGTGTTCGCGAGGGTGAGGTCGTGTTTTCGAAGGGAAAGTTCAGTAAAGGTTCGCGTTCTTGAGTGGTAGATCACGTTCGTGTAGAAGGAAATCTTGGCAACAGTGTTAAATTTCAAAATCGGGGGTTTGAACCCATTTTTCATATTTTGAGCTAGAGACCACGGATGTATTCGATTTTTGAACGAATTTTCAGGGAGTTGATTAGGGTAAGTGTTTCTCACTTGATTTTTGGTTAAATTCCATGATTATATCTTGATTTTTATCATCCAAATTGTGATTTGGGGTGAAAACTTTGGGGAAAAGTGGAAGTGTTCTTGAGATGGAATTTTGAGGTTTAGAAGGGGATTTTGTTGTGGATTTGAGTAAATTTGGTATGGTTAGACTCATGAGTGAATGGGATTTCGGGTTTTGTGACTTTTGTCGGATTTCGAGACGTGGGCCCGGGGGCCGGGTTTGAGCCAATTTCAGGTTTTGAGTCTAACTTAGTAGTTCTCTTGTAGAATTAATTCCTTTAGCACATATTAATGGTATTGTACTGCTTGTGGCTAGATTCGGGACGCTCAGAGGCCGATTCGAGAGGCAAGGACATTGCGGAGTAGAGATTTGCTCGGATTGAGGTAAGTAATGATTGTAAATCTAGTCCTGAGGGTATGAAGCCCCGGATTTTGGTGACATATGACTATTTGGAGGTGACGCACATGCTAGGTGACGGGCGTGCGGGCGTAGACCATTGGGGATTTGTGACTTGGTCCGCCCCGTAGCAACTGTAAAGTTGAACAACCAATTGTAGCTATATGCTCTTTATGTGCTTTAGAAAGATTTACTGTAAATCATGCTAGATACCATGTCTAGGCCTTATGCCTTTATTGTTTGGACCCTTAGAAGTCGTTTCTTGCTGTCCTCTCACTACTTTAGTTGATATCTCATACTCAGACATGTTCATGCATTCTCACATCATAGCTTAGTCTCTTTTATTCTATTTGTTGCATCATGTTAATGTTGTTTGGGCTGATTTCTTTGATTTCTGAGAGCCCGAGAGACTGGAGAGGTGTATGACTGAGTGAGGCCGAGGGACTGTTTGTGAGGTATTGTACCTTAGCACGTGAGTTGTCCGTGCATATTCTGATATGATATTATAGCATGTGAGTTATCCGTGTAGCACGTGAGTTGTCCGTACAGATTATAGTGATTGGGCTGTAGGAGCCCCTCCGGAGTCTGAACACCTCTAGTGAGCGTAGGTACCTACTGAGTGTGAGTGCCAAGTTCTGAGCAATTGTGAGGCATGAGTGATGGTGAGGCATGAGTGATTGTGAGGTTGGAGTGATTTGGAGGACTGAGTGATGTTAGCCCGAGGGGCAGTATATCATTTCATCATCCATGCTCATAGTTGCTTTGAGTCCTTGTTTGAGAACTGTTGAAAGATATTTATAATTGATTTACTTGAACTTGATTTAAACAAGCTGATTTGACTTAAACTCTGGTTACAAAGCATGCTGCACTTTACTAAATTTTTGTGATATGAACGGTACTTGCATTTAGCTCGTCATTACTTCTCAGCCATTATTTATTTTTGTTACTTACTGAGTTGGTGTACTCACATTACTCCCTGCACCTTGTGTGTAGATCCAGGTATTTTTGATCACGGTAGCGGCTGCTGATATTCCTGTAGCTGATCATTGAAGTTAGCAAGGTAGCTGTCTGGCGGTCGCAACCCTGTTTTCTCCTTCTTTATGTCCCCCTTAGTTGTATTTTGGATTTTTCCTAGACTATGTTAGTCTTATTATTCTCGGACCAGTTTTTAGTAGTCGCTCATGACTTAGTGATACCCCGATGTTTGGGGCTTTTCATTCCGCATTTCTATTTTTGAGTTCAACCCTTGTTTCCTTTAAGAAATTCTGCTATACAAGACGCATTTTTGGCATATCTTTGAATGAATTGTTGTAGTATTGTGGGAGTCGGCTAGCCTAGTACCATCGATAGGTGCCATCACGACAGGTTTGAGTCTAGGGTCATGACAAGTTGGTATTAGAGCCTAGGTTACATAGGTCTCATGAGTCATGAGCGGGTTTAGTAGAGTCTTGCGGATCGGTACGGAGACATTTGTACTTATCTTCGAGATGCTGCAGAACCTTTAGGAACAAATCCACATTCTTGAATTCTTGTCGTGCTAATCTGTTGATTCTGGTAACTAAACATATGTTGTTTCATTCTCTCACAGATAGTGAGGACTCGTACTGCCGGACAGGATGGACATCCACTAGTACCACTAGCCAGGGCTGCGAGAGGCCGAGGTCGCGGTAGAGGCCGTGGTAGGGGCAGAGGTACAGCCCGCACAGCAACTGGGGCAGTATATGTAGACCCACCAGTTGCCCCGGATAAGGATCAGATCCCAGTTATTGATGCATCAGCTCAGGCACCACCTATGCCTATTGTGATTCCATGCCTTTAGGAGGCCCTAGCTCAGATTCTGACATCGTGTACCGGCCTTGCTCAGGCGGTCTCTATCTCGACGGCCGCAACCACTTCTCAAGCCTGGGGAGGCACTTAAAATCCCGCCACTCGCACACCCGAGCAGGTTGTTCAGGGACTCCAGACACAGGGGCACCACCAGCCCAGCCGGTTACAGCTGCTCAAGACTATGTGGTTCCTCCTATGCCTGAGGATGATCAGCGTAGGTTGGAGAGGTTTGGGAGTCTCTAGCCTCCACCTTTCAGTGGCATAGAGAGAGAGGATGCTCAGGACTTCTTGGACAGGTGTAAGAGGATACTCCGTACAGCTGGTATTCTGGAGACTTGTGGGGTCTTATTCATTACTTTTCAGTTTTTTGGGGCTGCACTCAGATAATGGGAGACTTTCGAGAGGCGTAGGCCTGTTGGCGCAGCACCCCTTACTTGGCAGCACTTCTCCGTAGTATTTTTTGGAGAAGTTCTGCCTCAATCCCGCAGAAAGGAGCTGCGTAGACAGTTTGAGCAACTTCACCAGGGTGATATGTCTGTGACGCAGTATGAGATGCGATTCTCGGAGTTGGCCCGTCATGCTATCTGGTTGGTTCCCACAAACAGGGAGAGGATCATGAGGTTTATAGATGGTCTCACTTTTCAATTGCGATTGATTATGACCAGAGATAGGGTGTCTGGTGCTACTTTTGATGAGGTTATCGACATTGCTCGGCAGATTGAGATGGTTCGCGGTCAGGAGAGGATTGAGAGGGAGGCCAAGAGGCCTCGAGGACCGGGAGGATTTAGTGGTGCTCCTTATGGGGGTCAGTTCCAGCACGGCAGAGGTCGTCCATTAAGGCATGCTCAGCCAGCCTGCCCAGTTCACCGTGGTACATCATCTGGCCATGGTTCTCACAGTTCTTATCAGGGCCACTCAACACTCAGTGCCCTTCCAGCCCAGAGTTCGTCTCGTGCTCCTTCAGTTCAGGGCTCCTCTATGCTAGGTTCTTCTACCAGTTATCCCGGTGCTCGGGGCTTCCTTCAGTCCCCG